ACAACACTCTTGGTAAATGTAACATGTCTCCTGATTTGACGGACCTCATAAAATAAAGAATCTTTTGCTTTGGTTGCACGCTACACAAATTAAAAACCATGAAATAGCTTTCTTTATTTCTAAGTACCTCCCCATTGATAAGGAAAGTCGATACATGTCAATGTCTTTTGTTTTTACATCCGTTTGGTAAATAGTAAAATAGTGACGGAGACTAGTGGATAAAACCTCACTGATGACATCAATATTGTTACACAGAAAATACTTGAGATCGAATCATTGCAATATTTTGTGATGTGTCATCCCTATGAAGTGATCACTCATTCTGGAAAAAAGGTCGCCGTATCGAATTTTTTTTTCGACAGAAGTAAGATGTTAAAAATGTTTTTTTTCTGATTCATTTCTATCCCCAAAAAGATATTGTTCAAATAGAAACCATATGTCCAGCACTTTTAAAAGTCTATCAAAACAGATATAGCATAAAAAGTATAGAGGAGAATGTTACATGCACTTTCACCCTAGTAAAATATTCGTTGTAGTGTCGCATTCTCGGCGACCAAAACTGTGTAAAGGTAGTCTGTTATTTTAAGTCGTGGTTCCATATAGGTAACTGATTTGTAATAACTTTGGTACTAAAATGGAATAATCGAACATTATTCGGCGGTTTACCAGAATTTTTTTTCTGAGGACGATGTCTTCGTTTGTCTGTCTTTCCTAGAATCATTATTTCAGGTCCATGCTTTTTTGTTAATGATATGTATAAGCACGTGCAAACACACGTGAGGCCGCTTGAATCGTCTCAACTCCGAGTTTCTGGTCAGTGATGATAGACTCGGTGAAAATTAAGTAATGTTAATAGTTTGTCTATATTTAGAAACGGCTGTTACGGTATGGTCCCCTTTCTAAGTATCTTAGGAGAACATTCAGACCAACAGGATCTACAACATCCAGCTAAGTTAAAGAAACTAGACCTACCATCCCTAGAGTAGAGAAGGCTAAGGTCTGATAAGCTAAAAGTTTACAAGATCAGGAATAATGTAGGTTACACCGATATGTTGCACTTATTGATAAATATACGGTTAATAGCATCATCTGTTTAACCGGATGTGACCACGTGTATATCAAGAGCTGCATCAACAGAATCAATGAGGGGCTTACCTTAACCTCTATGAATTACATGTAAGGTTTTAAATGCTTAACAATTTATTTTTGTTAATGATGTCCTAGACGTAATAATAAATGATATCATATATATTAAGAAAATAGTATAAAATATTTTATATATGTAATATGGAAAGATGTTATGATAAATATAATAATGAATATATAACACATGTATGTCCTGTGTTACCAATAAAATGTATATGACTCGTCAGTCCCGTGTTTACTGTATAATAACATTATCTTTTTTAAAAGCTACAACGTATCGGTACTAAGTTATTCATAATATATATACATAACTTTTTGTCCCGTTTTTACTGTATAAAATATCATCTTTATGATACAAAGTCATTGATGGTTTCTTGTTCTTTAGAGAAAAGTTAAACTTTCGGTTTTTGTTATCTATAATTTCGTTTGTGCCGCGATGCCTTCTGTGATTCAGTGGTAGCCGTAACTGGAGTTATCTCCCTTGGTACGATAAAGTTTTGGGCACAGGAACGTGCTTATTTATAAATGTTGCACATTTTCTGTTTGAATGATATCCATTATGAGGGGAAGGTAATCGTGATGGCGTATCGAAAGTATTGTTTGGCCAGATCCTAACATTTGACATCCGTCACTGTCCAGTTGTACTAACCTATGGTTCATGGACCCCTTAGTTTCATTTGACACGTAACATATCAGAGTAACCAACATATACTGAAATGATAAAGAAACGCAACTTTTTATTGTAAAAAATGTGTTGAATATACTTAGCTGTATAAAAAGTAAGAAGAATATAAGGACCTTACCTAATTCCCTTAGTTGCGCCTTAATTACCAATATACCGTGACTGTACAAATACGTCCGTTCCTTTCCATTCAAACTAATGTCGATTTCTGACTATTAAATAGACATGTGGTTGCCAATATATTTTCAATCAATTATTGTTTTTTACAAACATGCCACGGCTGTCCCAACTTGATAGAAAACCGGCCCTCGCAATGCTCATGAGAGGCAGCATACAACAGCAGATCGTTACTCAACGGTTGGTTCACAAATCGAGCATGGGTATGTTAGTTTTACGTCGACAGACCGAGATCCGGACGTCCACGTGTCGCGACGTCAAGATTGGTTCATTAGTCTTGCCTACGTGCTTGGCAGGTTATTAAGGACAGCCGAAACTGCACGAAATAGCACTAGTAATTGAAACGGACGAATCCAATTAAAAAAACTGTGAGAAATAAAACGCGAGAGGCAAATTTACGCCCACTTAGCCAGTACGTTAGTGTCGCTAATACCGCGACGTCGAGAACGTCATACGCTATGGTTGACGGTACATTTGCCCAGACTTTTCCCTATGAGACGTTGGAGGTCCATCCTCGTGCTAGGCCACACGTTGCAAGAGTTTGTAGCAATTTTCTCGCAACCCAAAACACCATCTTTATTGATTGGCTTCCATATAGCCCGATTTGTCCCTATCGAAAACTTCAGTGGAGGGTTTGCACGGTATCAGGGATAACTCAGACTGTTGTTGTTATTTCAACTTTTTGTACATGAAGGTATCTTAATTCATGGCTGATTAATGAAGGCCTCATTTGTTAAAATTTGAGAAAAAATGAAAGAGTCAAATAGTTGAAGTTTACTAATACATTTCACATTTAAGCATATTGTTCATTAATATTATTTTTCAAACCGTAAAGTATAAGTTTCCTTCTCATTTTAATATACAGTAAATAGTTTCAGTCATGTCATATCAAAATTTATGAAATCATCAATAATTTCCTGGTCTATAAACCGACACTTATTATCTCTGTACTGTATTGTGTTAGTCTATAACCTACACACTGATTATCTCTGTACTGTATTATGTTGGTCTATAACCTGACACTGATTATCTCTGTACTGTATTGTGTTGGTCTATAACCTGACACACTGATTATCTCTGTACTGTATTGTGTTGGTCTATAACCTGATACACTGATTATCTCTGTACTGTATCGTGTTGGTCTATAACCTGACACACTGATTATGTCTGTATTGTATTGTGTTGGTCTATAACCTGACACACTGATTATCTCTGTACTGTATTGTGTTGGTCTATAACCTGACACACTGATTATGTCTGTATTGTATTGTGTTGGTCTATAACCTGACACTGATTATCTCTGTACTGTATTGTGTTGGTCTATAACCTGACACACTGATTATGTCTGTACTGTATTGTGTTGGTCTATAACCTGACACACTGATTATCTCTGTACTGTATTGTGTTGGTCTATAACCTGACACTGATTATGTCTGTACTGTATTGTGTTGGTCTATAACCTGACACACTGATTATCTCTGTACTGTATTGTGTTGGTCTATAACCTGACACTGATTATGTCTGTACTGTATTGTGTTGGTCTATAACCTGACACTGATTATCTCTGTACTGTATCGTGTTGGTCTATAACCTGACAAACTGATTATCTCTGTACTGTATTGTGTTGGTCTATAACCTGACACTGATTATCTCTGTACTGTATTGTGTTGGTCTATAACCTGACACTGATTATCTCTGTACTGTATTGTGTTGGTCTATAACCTGACATTATGTCTGTACTGTATTGTGTTGATTACTGTACTGTATTGTGTTGATTATCTCTGTACTGTATTGTGTTGGTCTATAACCTGACACACTGATTATCTCTGTACTGTATTGTGTTGGTCTATAACCTGACACACTGATTATCTCTGTACTGTATTGTGTTGGTCTATAACCTGACACTGATTATCTCTGTACTGTATTGTGTTGGTCTATAACCTGACACTGATTATCTCTGTACTGTAATGTGTTGGTCTATAACCTGACACACTGATTATGTCTGTACTGTATTGTGTTGGTCTATAACCTGACACACTGATTATCTCTGTACTGTATTGTGTTGGTCTATAACCTGACACACTGATTATGTCTGTACTGTATTGTGTTGGTCTATAACCTGACACACTGATTATCTCTGTACTGTATTGTGTTGGTCTATAACCTGACACTGATTATCTCTGTACTGTATTGTGTTGGTCTATAACCTACACACTGATTATCTCTGTACTGTATTGTGTTGGTCTATAACCTACACACTGATTATGTCTGTACTGTATTGTGTTGGTCTATAACCTGACACTGATTATCTCTGTACTGTATTGTGTTGGTCTATAACCTACACACTGATTATCTCTGTACTGTATTGTGTTGGTCTATAACCTGACACAGTGATTATCTCTGTTTTATTGATATTAGGGTAAATAGTACCATATATTTAAATGGTTGAGATGACCATTGAAAATACAAATTCAGTTAGAATCGTGATGAACGTCTACAGCTTTATTCAACCATTGAAAAATAAGATATATTTTGTTGTATTTTCTGTCATACCTCAGATTGGAGCTTGTTCTCTTCTAACCACAGAAAGGTCAAATTCGTCATTCTTTTGTAGTATCCACTCTCACACAATATTTTTATAATTAACTTTGCCAGTTCTATTTCCAATTGTGAGTAAAGTTAACGAGTTTGTCACTTAGTCCATCTGATTGTTTATTTCTTTTAAAAACAAAAATACAACCAAACAGTTGCTATAAAGCACGTGCATGTTTTTGCCCCTTTTTTCAATATATAACGTTTTCTGAACAGTAAAATCGTCAGATGTTCCTTTAGCCTTAATAATGACACCTTTCACACGCGTTACACCCCACCATTTCACGGAGTTTCATTGAGGTATGTTGTCGTATTCTTTTTTTATCTCTGATAACCAATCACCAGACGACGAAGAACCACGTGACCATCATTCAAATGTCTGTGATGTTGACACAACTGATGTTCACAATCGCATGTTATCCGTCGTATTGTTTCGCCCTAGTCTATTTAGCAAAGACATTGCAGCATAGACCTCGTTGATTTTCATATTTATCTGTAAAGAGAAAATCGTGATTTGTCAGAATAACAGGTTGGTGAAGAGGAAATTAACACAAAACAAAATTCAAAATGAAGACGCTTCACTAAAATCGAAGACAAATTCTCCAAGAAGTCGAGGTGAAGTAAAGCCATCGTGTCTTCGTTCGCTATAACCCTCCACGTTAAAATATATATATATATGTGTTTCTTCTTTTTACGACGACTGTCTTGTCTCAATGACATCGAAAACGAGCCAGCCTTTTATACAACTAAGAATAACATCACAAAGGACATAGTCACAAATCTGTTACGATCATTCAGAAAAGGTGTTGGAATAGATAGTGACACTTCAAAACATTTAGCAAGAAAACAAATTGTTCAATATTTCTATCCATTTAGTATGTCCCCATAACGAAGTGAGGCCTATTGATTTTAACTTCGTTTCTTCATATTTTTATTAGAATCTAGCCTGTAATAAATATATATCTGTTGCTGCATCTAAAATGTATAATGCAAAACTGCATCTCAAATGAATAATGTATGAAATCTGTGATTTTAATTTAATCATAACCTGTTGCCGCGGGATGTTCAGAACACTGATACAGTATTACTGATATATACATAACGCTAATACAAATTCCGCTAGTATAGGTTGTTAATTACCTTCAAATGATTTTACTTTGTCTGAGTGTTGCAGCAGTTACTTGTTTTTGTTTTTAGATTTTTATTCATCATACCATCAACGGGTTTCATTGTAGACAAGACAATATACTGATCTTTTCAGTAGTGAACCATAGATTATGAAATTTTCGAGTCATTAAGAAGTTTTGCAACACTGATTCTTTCAAGCGCATTTGCGATAGTTTCATCAAAATTTGGTCAAGGTCAGTTATTGTTTAGTTGGAACGATCATTTACATAATGATTCACGTTATTATGTGGAGTCATATTTTCATGGGTATTAAATTTTTATTTCTACGTGTAAGGATTACTGTGTCTATCCCTTGTGTACTTCACAGATTTAAGTCCTTTATAATATGCTTAATCCTTTATTTGTATTTTTTCAGAATTTAGGGTGCCAGCATATTTGCATTCTTTCAATTTCTATTCAACCACCAAAAATATATTACAACATACAGAAATAATGATAAAAATCATTTTATTGATTGATATTACATTCTGATAATATTGATTTTGATCAAACTCAACTTATCATCAGTAGTTTGATAGTATTGCAACGGATGCGTACTGTCAGTTCGTTACCAAGTTCTATCTTGGACCCAGTAACTGTTTAACAAATAGTAAAACGCCCACCATATATATACAAAATACTGGCCTGTCTACCCGACTCAAATAATTATATAAACTATACGAATTCAATAACTATACTCTAAACTACACCCGGTAGATAACTAACATTTATTGCACCTTAACACTGATATGTATAGAGTCTCAATACCAACTAAAACACTATATCACATATATACACGCCACCCTGTGTCGGTAGTAAATAATTAACCTTTCACCACAACACCCGTGACTGTACAAACTTGACCGTGACACACTTTGACCAGGTCAGCCTTCACCGCGACACACGTGCATTGACTGCGTCACCTTTTGCCTCAACCACTTGGACCAAGTCAGCTATACACTGTGTCTCGGCAAAACTTGTGCCTCGGCACCCTGTCACTGTACCTGATCAACTACACATTACCCTGTACTATGATCTCCCGTGACTTTGTACATTTGTATAAGACGTGTAAGGATTATTGGTTCCGATTTTAAAGGATTACAGTGGAGCCCTAACTTATTCAGCTAGGCCCAAACTTTTTCAGCTTGGTCACTGTTACCTTTTATTCTCAGCTAGAGATCCTTTACGTTCGTCTGTCAGCATCCGAGGGAGCCTTTTGTATGGTGGAACCTCTATTTATACGACTACCCATCTAATGAAATGCCTTCTTTCAAACAACCAATCAAAAGTGCTCTTCTTTTACAAACTACAGAAATAACTACTACAAGTCTACACTGCTAATCCTTTATTGTGTAATGTTGTAAATCACATGGAATCAATCGTTTCAGTATATATAACATGAACCATTTACGTAACGTTTGTTCAAGGGAGTTAACTCCGGCAAGAATGGTTGGTATTTAAATAGTATACATTTCGGCAGACAAAACTTGTACGATGTCTCCGTGTGGTCATGTCATCTAATTTCATCAAGGTGTACTCAGATCAGTTATTGTTGTATAGTCGCTACGGTTATTAACATAAAAACCGGATTTTTATATACATACTGATTTCAGAGACCACGGCACTTACCGATTTGTAGAACATGCAAGCGACCAGGTTTTCATCCTCTCCATGAGGACAGTGGATTTTCCTGTCACACAGGGCTTTCCGGCGTATACAATAGTATTTACTTTTTCCGATCGGAGTTGGGCATGGTATCTCGTTCTCCTTATCAGCACATTCTAGTAAAGACAAATAACTTCATAATTAATATTTTTAAAAAATCCAATTTCACATATAAACAAAAAACGACAACACAGAACATACACACCGTAGAGTAGTACCTACACACAGAGTATAGGAGTAACTACATACAGTACAGTAGTATCTACATACAGTACAGTAGTATCTACATACATACAGTACAGTAGTATCTACATACAGTACAGTACAGTAGTATCTACATACATAGAGTATAGGAGTAACCACATACAGTACAGTAGTATCTACATACAGTACAGTAGTATCTACATACATACAGTACAGTAGTATCTACATACATAGAGTATAGGAGTAACCACATACAGTACAGTAGTATCTACATACAGTACAGTAGTATCTACATACATAGAGTATAGGAGTATCTACATACAGTACAGTAGTATCTACATACAGTACAGTAGTATCTACATACATACAGTACAGTAGTATCTACATACATAGAATGTAGGAGTAACCACATACAGTACAGTAGTATCTACATACATAGAGTGTAGATACATAGAGTAGGAGTAACTACATACAGTACAGTAGTATCTACATACATAGAGTGTAGGAGTAACTACATACAGTACAGTAGTATCTACATACATAGAGTGTAGGAGTAACTACATACAGTACAGTAGTATCTACATACATAGAGTGTAGGAGTAACTGCATACAGTACAGTAGTATCTACATACATAGAGTGAAGGAGTAACTACATACAGTACAGTAGTATCTACGTAAATAGAGTGTAGGAGTAACTACATACAGTACAGTAGTATCTACATACATAGAGTGTAGGAGTTACTACATACAGTACAGTAGTAACCACATACAGTACAGTAGTATCTACATAAATAGAGTATAGGAGTAACTACATACAGTACAGTAGTATCTACATACAGTACAGTAATATCTACATACAGTACAGTAGTATCTACATACATAGTGTGTAGGAGTAACTACATACAGTACAGTAGTATCTACATACATAGAGTGTAGGAGTAACTACAAACAGTACAGTTATATCTACAAACATAGAGTATCTACATACAGTACATTAGTATCTACATACATAGAGTGTAGGAGTAACTACAAATAGTACAGTTGTATCTACAAACATAGAGTATCTACATACAGTACATTAGTATCTACATACATAGAGTGTAGGAGTATCTACATACAGTACAGTAGTATCTACATACATAGAGTATAGGAGTAACTACATACAGTACAGTAGTATCTACATACATAGAGTGTAGGAGTAACTACAAACAGTACAGTTGTATCTACAAACATAGAGTATCTACATACAGTACAGTAGTATCTACATACATAGAGTGTAGGAGTAACCACATACAGTACAGTAGTATCTACATACATAGAGTATAGGAGTAACTACATACAGTACAGTAGTATCTACATACATAGAGTGTAGGAGTAACTACAAACAGTACAGTTGTATCTACAAACATAGAGTATCTACATACAGTACATTAGTATCTACATACATAGAGTGTAGGAGTAACTACATACAGTACAGTAGTATCTACAAACATAGAGTATCTACATACAGTACATTAGTATCTACATACATAGAATGTAGGAGTATCTATATTCAGTACAGTAGTATCTACATACATAGAGTGTAGGAGTAACTACATACAGTACAGTAGTATCTACATACAGTACAGTAGTATCTACATACATAGAGTGTAGGAGTAACTACATACAGTACAGTAGTATCTACATACATAGAGTGTAGGAGTAACTACATACAGTACAGTACAGTGGTATCTACATACATACTGTACATCGTTTTAATAATATAGGTGTAAACAATATGTCAAACGAATCGAAGTTACAGTCGTTTGAAGATATGGTTCTGCTACCGCTGTTACTTTCAGGCACAGAACCTTTACGTGGCTGCTGTTTAGACAGAATATGACATTTAGATGACTGCTAACGGAGAAATGAAAACCGGGCTTGTTAGGAATTGAATCCATATAAATGAAAATCCAAGGCTTCCCGCAATGCCGGCGTTACTATGAAAACCCCGTAATGGGGTAATGTTTCTGTTGATTCCTGTAGGCGACATCTAGTGGGTAAAATGGCATTAAATAAGATCGGGTTCAGAGACGCCAAATTGGCAATAGTGCGTGTCTAAGTATGATATCGTCGCGTGACAAGGGTATCAATGTCACCAAATCAGGCTGAGTTCAGATACTATTTCATAAAAATAAAGAATAATGATCGGGTAAAACTTACAACGAACCAAACATTACCAGCCCAGGTAAGACAAGATTAAAACTATACTCAAAATCAGCATTGATACAATGTATGTTAACTTCACTAGATGTTAACCTGTCTAAAGTTAACAGTGATACAATGTATGTTAACTTCACTAGATGTAAACCTGTCTAAAGTTAACAGTGATACAATGTATGTTAACTTCACTAGATATAAAACCTGTCTAAAGTTACCAGTGATACAATGTAACTTAACTTTACTAGATGTAAACCTGTCTAAAGTTAACAGTGATACAATGTAACTTAACTTCACTAGATGTAAAACCTGTCCATAGTTAACATTGATACAATGTAACTTAACTTCACTAGATGTAAAACCTGTCTATAGTTAACAGTGATACAATGTATGTTAACTTTACTAGATATAAAAGCTGTCTAAAGTTAACAGTAATACATGGTATGTTTATTTTGCTTAATGTAAAACCTCACCAAAATTAACAGTCATACTATGTACTTGGTGCATTTGAGTAGTCCTAGACTGCGACTTTCGAGCTTGTAAATGATTTTCTACCTCTAACGATATCGATCTATGGCTATCTCGGAAATAGTCTACTTATGCTAAACATTTTGTTTCAATAAGAGTTGACAGTTATTGATGTTTGACTGTTTAGAAATAAGTATTGTAGTGTTGACACGGGTAGACAGCTTTGTCAGAGCTTAGCGTGGGTGACGTTACATTAAACACCATTGTGTAAAAAACAACTAAATATTGTCAGAAAGTTGACAATTAATCATCATTGAAAGCTGTATTCTATTTATGTACATCGTAAATTCGATTTCGATCTTTCAAAATAGATACTTGTCGAGGAATGTACCGCTAAATATTATCAGCATTCCAATTATCAGATAGGAAACTGTAACGATTTAAGTAGAGTTCAGTAAACGATGAAGAAGCTTACAATGTGTTGTCGCCTTGTTTAGGGTAAATGACTAGAGGAACACCGACTTGTTAGCATCGTGATGTCGCCTTGTTCTGTGTCAATGGTTAGGGGAGTACTGACTTGTTAATACCGTGATGTCGCCTGGTTCAGTGTCAATGGTTAGGGGAACACTGACTTGTTAATACCGTGATGTCGCCTTGTTCAGTGTCAATGGTTAAGGAAATACTGAATTGTTAACACCGTGATGTCGCCTTGTTCAGTGTCTATGGTTAGGGGAACACTGACTTGTTAACACCGTGATGTCGTTTGTTCAGTGTCAATGGTTAGGGGAACACTGACTTGTTAACATCGTGATGTCGCCTTGTTCAGTGTCAATGGTTAGGGGAACACTGAATTGTTAACTCAGTGATGTCGCCTTGTTCAGTGTCAATGGTTAGGGGAACACTGACTTCTTAACACTGTGATGTCGACTTGTTTGTGGAAAGGTTAGGGGAACACTGAATTGTTAACACTGTGATGTCGACTTGTTTGTGGAAAGGTTAGGGGAACACTGAATTGTTAACACTGTGATGTCGCCTTGTTCAGTGTCAATGGTTAGGGGAACACTGACTTGTTAACACCGTGATGTCGACTTGTTCAGTGTCAATGGTTAGAGGAACACTGACTTGTTAACACCGTGATGTCGACTTGTTCAGTGTCAATGGTTAGAGGAACACTGACTTGTTAACACCGTGATGTCGACTTGTTCAGTGTCAATGGTTAGGGGAACACTGACTTGTTAACACCGTGATGTCGCCTTGTTCAGTGTCTATGGTTAGGGGAACACTGACTTGTTAACACCGTGATATCGCCTTGTTCAGTGTCAATGGTTAGGGGAACACTGACTTGTTAACACCGTGATGTCGCCTTGTTCAGTGTCAATGGTTAGGGGAACACTGACTTGTTAACACCGTGATGTCGCCTTGTTCAGTGTCAATGGTTAGGGGAACACTGACTTGTTAACACCGTGATGTCGCCTTGTTCAATGTCAATGGTTAGGGGATCACTGACTTGTTAACACCGTGATGTCGCCTTGTTCAATGTCAATGGTTAGGGGAACACTGACTTGTTAACACCGTGATGTCGTTTGTTCAGTGTCAATGGTTAGGGGAACACTGACTTGTTAACACCGTGATGTCGTTTGTTCAGTGTCAATGGTTAGGGGAACACTGACTTGTTAACACCGTGATGTCGCCTTGTTCAGTGTCTATGGTTAGGGGAACACTGACTTGTTAACACCGTGATGTCGCCTTGTTCAGTGTCAATGGTTAGGGGATCACTGACTTGTTAACACCGTGATGTCGCCTTGTTCAGTGTCAATGGTTAGAGGAACACTGACTTGTTAACACCGTGATGTCGTTTGTTCAGTGTCAATGGTTAGGGGATCACTGACTTGTTAGCATCGTGATGTCGCCTTGTTTGTGGAAAGGTTAGGGGAACACTGACTTGTTAACACCGTGATGTCGTTTGTTCAGTGTCAATGGTTAGAGGAACACTGACTTGTTAACACCGTGATGTCGTTTGTTCAGTGTCTATGGTTAGGGGAACACTGTCTTGTTAACACCGTGATGTCGTTTGTTCAGTGTAAAAGGTTAGGGGAACACTGACTTGTTAACACCGTGATGTCGCCTTGTTCAGTGTCTATGGTTAGGGGAACACTGACTTGTTAACACCGTGATGTCGCCTTGTTCAGTGTCTATGGTTAGGGGAACACTGACTTGTTAACACAGTGATGTCGCCTTGTTCAGT